CCATCTTATGTAGCATCATTAGTTTAACTTGAAGAAATCCCTAAAGATTAACCCTTGAGATAAGCATAATCTTAGGCTTTAGCTTTCTGCTTTTATAATTATTATCTTATGCATAAGACAAATGAGTGAATTATACCTTAAATGATTTTCACACTATCTTAACAGTTGATATACATGATGGACATTTTGAGTTATTGATTTAGTTTTCATTGCTTTCCGTAAATGTATTCTTGCAAAGCACATTTGGTAGTATATTATATAACATGAGACAATTCTCATTTCTTCAACCTGAATTTTGATTGCAAAAACCACCTATAACAAATTCCTTACATTGGGGTTGTCTTGTCCATGTTGCTCTTGAATCGTACATGGCAGTGGATGCCATAGCTAAAATAGGCCACAATATTGTGAGGATTTTGTTATTTTTAATTGTATCTCCAAACAATTAAATATACATATCTTTAATTCCTTATAACTCATTGTCATCTTTTCTTTTAAGTAATGATATATCCTTTTGCCACTAATTTCCTTTTTATATTAAATTTTTAAATTTTTTTATTTCATGGGTCCGGGCATTGCCTGGGTATTAACTAGTTTGTATAAAATAGTCAAAAGAATCCTAAAGATATTGCGTTACTCCAGTTTCGAAAATAGTCCAACGCTTTACGCCAAGCAAGTAGCATTTTTTTCCTTTTTTCCATAGGGTCATTGATCCTTCTTTTGTCACTTGAGTCACGAGTGAAATCACTTTCTCTAGCTTTTAAAGCCAGTTTACGACATTAGTAATTAGTCACTCCTGAATTTTAATTTCCTAATGCATCAACTCTCCGTATGATTAGCTAAGCCAAGCCTTTTATTGGTTCATGCCAACCAGCATTTGGCGCTTTTTTTTCTCTCTCTGCGGATCAATGTGAAATCGATTGAATCCCTATATAAGTTAGTGAATATGTTGCTAAATCGGCATCCAAATTTAGCTATTCTAACTCCTAAATTCAGTCATGGGGGACTGGTCTTCAAGTTTTGTTGTTTGTTTCTCTGTATTTTTCTCATCCGCCTTATTCCTCCTACTAAGCCGATGGAGGTCCAGCTACCGAAAGCTCCCTCCTGGACCACCGGGGTGGCCAATTATCGGCAACTTATTGGATCTCGGCCACGCATCACATCAGACCCTAACCCGCCTCAGAGACAAGTACGGTGACGTTATATGGCTCAAGCTTGGAGCTTTGAACACCATGGTAAATGTTTCCACTAAAGCGGCTACTGAACTATTTAAAAACCATGATCTCGCCTTCGCCGACCGCACTCTGACCGTGCTCATGTGTGTCCTGCAGGACTTCCACAAAGTCTCCGTAGCTCTGGCGCCATACGGTTCGTACTGGCGCATCATGAGGCGCCTGGTTTCGACGGACATGCTGACCGTCAGGCGAATCAACGAAACCGTCTCTGTACGGAGAAAATGCCTGGACAATATGCTGATGTGGATCGAAGAGGAGGCGCGGAGAAAACCAGGACAGGCAATTCACATCGCGCGGTTCGTGTTTTTGTTGGGATTCAATCTGTCGGGAAACCTGATGCTGTCGCGTGACTTGGTGGATCCGCAATCAAAGGAAGTGTCGGAATTTTTCGAGGCAGTAAATAGGGCGATGGAAACTTTGGGGTATGCAAACATGGCTGATTATTTTCCATGGTTGCGGTGGCTTGATCCACAAGGATTGGAGAAGAAGATGAAAAAGATCCAAGGACAAGTCATCGAAATCGCTTCTAATCTTGTGAGGGAGAGAATCAAGGAGAAAAAATGGGCAGCCGGGGAAGAGAGGAAGAAGGATTTCTTGGATTTGTTGCTTGAGCATCGTGGAAATAGCAAAGATGAACTAGACAAATTATCCGATCATGAAGTGACCATTTTCATACTGGTAAAATTAATTAATTTCATTCTGCATTTGAGCATGTTATTGGGTTTTAATTTCTAATTTGAGATTGAATCGATTGAGTTTTGAGTTTAATCATACAACATACACTCAAAAATTAACCTGAGTTTTTCTTGTGCAGGAATTTTTTACGGCCGGGGGAGAAACAACAAGCAGCTCAATTGAATGGGCGATGACAGAGCTCCTCCGCCACCCTGAGGTACTGACCAAGGCCAAAGCGGAGCTCGCCGATGTTGTTGGTCCAAACCGTAAGCTGGAAGAGGCCGACATTGACAGTCTTCCATACTTGAACGCGGTAGTAAAGGAAACTCTAAGATTACATCCTCCTCTCCCTTTCTTGGTCCCGAGAAAGGCCATTGAAGACACCAATTTCATGGGATATAACATACCCAAAAACACTCAAGTTTTGGTGAATGTTTGGGCAACTGGAAGGGACCCAAAAATGTGGGACGATCCTTGGTCCTTCAAGCCGGAGAGGTTCCTGGGATTAAAGACCGATTACAAGGGGCAGAACTTTGAGCTGATTCCCTTCGGAGCGGGGCGGAGGATCTGTGCTGGACTGCCATTGGCTCATAGAATGCTCCACCTTGTTTTGGGGTCATTACTTCACCATTTTGACTGGGAGCTTGAAAATGGTATTACTACGGAAACAGTAAACATGGAAGATAGGTTGGCTGTAGCAATGCGGAAGCTTCAACCATTGCTAGCAATTCCCAAAATCACTGCAACTACAACATCGACATAATTTGACTCGAGTTGGAGCTCCAATCGAGTATTAAGATGGATGGGAAATGATTTGAACAAGGGAATGATTATGATTATAAGTATAATTCACAACTACATGTATTTTTTTT